TTTCTATTATAAAAAGTAAAAAAAATCAGAAAAATTGACTAAAATTCAATATAATTTTCGTCTAATTTTGATGGTTAAAGGTATGTTCCTATTATAAAAAGTAAAAAAAATCAGAAAAATTCAACTTAAATTTCATCTGATTTAATGGTTAAAGGCATGTTTCTATTATAAAAGTAAAAAAAATCAGAAAAATTGACTAAAATTCAACATAATTTTCGTCTAATTTTGATGGTTAGAAGTATGTTCCTATTATAAAAAGCAAAAAAAATCAGAAAAATTCAACTTAAATTTCATCCGATTTAATGGTTGAAGGCATGTTTCTATTATAAAAAGTAAAAAAAATCAGAAAAATTGACTAAAATTCAATATAATTTTCGTCTAATTTTGATGGTTAGAGGTATGTTCCTATTATAAAAAGTAAAAAAAATCAGAAAAATTCAACTTAAATTTCATCCGATTTGATGGCTGAAGGCATGTTTCTATTATAAAAAGTAAAAAAAATCAGAAAAATTCAACTTAAGTTTCGTTCGATTTTGATTATTAGAGAAATGTTTCTATTATAAAAAGCAAGAAAAATTGACTAAAATTCAACATAATTTTCATCTGATTTGATAGTTAGAGGCATTTTTCTATTATAAAAAGTAATAAAATCAGAAAAATTCAACTTAAGTTTTGTTCGATTTTGATGGTTGAAGGCATGTTTCTATTATAAAAAGCAAAAAAAATTCAGAAAAATTGACTAAAATTCAACATAATTTTCGTTCAATTTAATAGTTAGAGGCATGTTTCTATTAAAAAAAGTAAAAAAAATCAGAAAAATTCAACTTAAGTTTTGTCCGATTTTGATGATGGGAGGCATGTTTCTATTATAAAAATCAGAAAAAAAATCAGAAAAATTGACTAAAATTCAACATCATTTTCATCCAATTTTGATGGTTGGAGGCATTTTTCTATTATAAAAAGTAAAAAAAATCACAAAAATTCAACTTAAGTTTCGTCCAATTTTGATGATTAGAGGCATGTTTCTATAATAAAAAGTAAAAAAAATCAGTTTATTTTTGAAAAGTTGACTAAAATACAGCTTTTTCTTTGTCCGATTTTAATAATTGAAGGCAAAATTAACTAAAATTCAACTTAGGTCTTTTTGTTTTTAGGACGATTTTTTTTGGGATTTTAGTGGAATGTAAAAAGAGAAAATTTGGAAATGATTGAAATTATTTTTTAAAAAGTTAAAAAATTAAGCTTATTTATATAAATATTCCTATATACCAGAAAAAAACTCAAATAGTACATTAAATTAATATTATTTTAGCAAATCAGTTTAATCTAAAAGTTCAGTTTGTTAGAATGATAATACTATCATACCTTAGGAACGATAAAACTATCGTTCCTTAGATACGATAATACTATCGTCTCTTAGGAATGATAAAACCATCGTCTCTAAGGAATGATAAAACCATCATTCCTAAAGAACGATAAAACTATTGTCCCTAAGAAATGATAATATCATCATTCCTTAGGTATGATAAAATCATTGTACCTAAGAAATGATAAAACTATCGTTCTTTAGGTACGATAATACTATTGTCCCTAAGGAACGATAAAACCATCGTCCATAAGGAATGATAAAATCGTCGTACCTAAGGAATGATAATACCATCGTTTCTTAGGTACAATAAAACAATCGTCTATAAGGAATGATAAAATTGTCATATCTAAGGAATGATAATACCATACTATTATTCCTTAGATACAATAATACCATTATTGATAAAACAATCGTCTCTAAGGAATGATAAAATCATTGTTCTTTAGGTACGATAAAATCATTGTTCTTTAGGTATGATAATACCATCATCTCTAAGAAATGATAAAATTATCATCCTTAAGGAACGATAATACCATTGTACCTTAGGAATAATAAATAATCATCTCTAAGGAACGATAATATCATCGTATCTTAGGAATGATAAATCGTCGTCCTTAAGGAATGATAAAACCATTGTTCCTTAGGTACGATAATACCATCGTCTCTAAGGAATGATAATACTATTGTTCCTAAAGAATGATAATACCTATCGTATCTAAGAAACAATTCAATCATTCTAATTGAACGTCAATCGGTTATAAATAAGATAGGTTAAATTTTGATATATACTAATCAGCTATAAGTATGCCAATTGGCTATAAATAAGATAGGTCAAATTTTAGCTGATTCTTGGCCGATTTCTGATGTATGCCAATCGGCTAGGCTGATTTTTGATAATTTGCCAAATTTTAGATTGATTTTAGGCCGATTTTCGCATGTCTGATTTTTTTGATTTCGACCAGTGTCAATTGTATGTCTTAAAAGAAGTTATCGAAAATGTTTATTTGTTTAAGGTATAAATTTTAATAGCTTTTGATGTATTATTTTTATGTATTCCATACTTATTTTACTTTTTTTGGCATGATAGAGTCGAATAATAGATTATTACCTTGCAGTACAAAAGATCATTCCCTTAACTAAAACTCACGTTGGTGTAAGTGAATCTCCTGTTAATGCATCACCCTCTAAAGCTTCAAGGACTCATGACGCTTTAAAAATTTCTGAATAATATTTCTGTAGTAAGTCAGATTATGAAAAATACTGTGTAGAATCTTTCCTGTGCTCAGGAACTCCATTTAATATAGATCTGAGTGTATCATATTTTTCACATATAATTAATAAAGCATCCGAATAAATTTGTTTTACTCATATCAGGCTCATAATGTTTTAACGTGTTTGCAGTGTAGATCAGAAAAAAAGGCTTATATGTATTGAGATAATAAATTTTCTTGGCAATAAACCTGCATTAATAAAACAATATTATCACAAATTGGTAATTCCAAAATGTTATTAAATTCTAACATCCTGAAGAAAAATCATATGACTTTGATCGTTCCCTGATGGAATGGTTTTCACACCTAAAAATTTATATTATCTGACCATGAACTATATGAGCAGGCAAAACTATTGCATCTGCCTCCTTCAACTATGCAGATTTTCAGAAAAAGTAGAGAACTCTTTTTTCGTATTAGTGAGAAGGCAACTCAATTTATTTTTACATGGTGTATCATATTCTACCAAAACTGGAACTTTATGCTATGTAAAAAAAATCAGCATTTACAAGTACTGTTTAATAGAAGAGGCAACAATTCCGTTATATATGACTTTACTTAATTTTATATAATCGCTTATCTATACTATATTGACATTGAAAATGACTGTAACGTGTACATTTACAAAATATTATATAGTTCTGACTCTAGAGATAGTGAGCATAGTTCTAGTAAAATGGTAGTAACTATTTCGACTTCCAAAAATTCATAGAATAGAGATTCAATTACATATATTTTTATTAAGTTATATTATTAATAAAGCAAATGCATCAAATAACAAAATTTTTTCTTGACAAATTTTAATTATGTGTTTTTATTTTTGAATATTAACATACTAATACTATATTACATAAGCATACAATCTGAAATAGATGGTTCTAGTGAAACTGATTTATTGAAACAATGTATTAGTAAGTTTAAGGTCAGAGTTATGAAATTGGAAGATAAGCGATCCTAAAGGGACCAGTAAAAAATTTATTATCTATACTGTAAAAAACGTAATCCTATATTAATATTGGCTGGCAAAAGTAATTAGCATTAGAACTTATAATGTATACGTGATTTGATCAAAGTTGTATTACTAGTAGATCTCTCATGATATTGATGTGTAAATTTATTTTTAATGCTATGTCCTATGTCAGGGTGAATTTCTTTCATATAAACTTTTTTACGCAAAAATATATCTAATAAAATGTTCCATTCTGATTATAAATACATTATCAATAGATTACCTGAAAGTCTTGTCAAGAGAGCTTGTCAGAGACTCTTACATCATTTTAAGACCCTATTCTATTAGAATCTATTTCTGAAAAGTTTGAATGAATTGAATCTTATTTAAGATACATATTAGAGATTTATAATAATTCATTAAATAGAAAATAACATAATAAATCTATAGCTCAGGAAAAATATCATAACCTCAAAGCTGACCAAAATGTAATATATTTTCAGTATTACCACATATATTCGTTATAGATATTAAGGTCTAAACTGATAAATTTGCTTATGATCATAAGGAAGAAAACAATCAGCAGGTTATAAATAAACTTAAAGTATTAACTCAGTATCTACTTGATTATAATAGATGAACTTTTAGGAAATTTATGCAAGATATAGCAAGGGAATATAGAGAGCGGATTAGTGCAAATAAAAAATTGTGATATGAAAATAAGAATCTAAAAATGCAACTATAGGAGGTAGAAAAAAGCTGGCATTTATGAAATCAGATTCTTCTCATTAGTTGAGGTACTTTTTTCTTATACTTCTGCAAAGTAAGATTCTGGTTAAGATTACGCACTTTTTAAGGATCTATATAAATCAAAGGTTCAGCCATTCTTTTTTATAATCATAAAAAAAAAATGTCATTTCGCAGGCCTCATCTAAGGCAGAAAAGAACATGTGAAAAACATAAAACTAAGTTAGAGAAGGAGAACTATCATTTTCATAATGGATTACAAATAGAAGTTGATATTAATTGTCAGAATGAAAGACAAATTAATCAACTAGAATAGAATTATGCTTGATGTGAATAGGAAATCCAAAATCTCAATAAAGAAATAGAATGTCTCAAAAATGTTTCAGAAGAAGAGATAATAGAGTTGAAATCTGAAATATTCAGTCTAAAAAGTCAGCTATATCAAGCTAGGAAGGATATGTGAAATAAAGAAAAGTATATTCCTATCTTAAAAAAGCAGTTGATAGAATCTGAGGAGCAGATTAAAAATTTGTGATATAGAATTAAGACTATCTTATCACAGAAAAATTTACTGAAGTAAAGGAATTCTTCTAACTTGTATAATTCTAATGATAATATGGTCATAGTTACTAGCTAGTAAATGCTATAGACAGCTATATGAATAATAGGACAATGGTTAGAAATATTCTGATAAATCAAATAAAAAAGACAACAAGACAAATTCGCTGAAAAGAGAATAATTTGCATTAGAATTTAGTCTGTGAGTAATGAAGATATTATAATGCAGAGGCTGAATGAGATCTTGCTATTATGCAAAAAGATCTTGCTGAAGGAGCAATAGATAGAATTTTTAGTGATCTTTAGCAATTGCAGGCTAATGTTCAAAACCAGATAAATAGAATAATAGATAATATAGCAAAAAAGCAAACTCATATAGGTATGCTAGTATAAGAAAAATTTGCCTTATAATTACTGTATCAGTGAAATACTTATCACTTATAGCAAAATAGAGAGAATATAGATTTATTAGAGTATAATCGCGATAGGCTTTATAGGTGATATGAGAAATGGAAAAATAAGACATATGATGCTTAGCAGAATATTTTAAATTTGCAGGGATAAATTTTAGCATTACAGAATAATCTATCTAATCAAATAAACATAACTTTATCTGAAGGATTTATAATGCCTGAATTATGTAACTTTGAACAAGATTATGAAAATTATGCAGATGATTTTATAGCATATATTTATTTAGCAGGTATAAATGATGAAGCAAGAATTCACAATATACTAGATCGATCTATAAAGGAGAAATGCGAGAATAGTACAAAAGAGAGTTTGATAACAAAAACTAGAAATTACAGAATGTATTAGATAATTCTGATATAGGTGCTAATATTACAGTCATTCATGATACTAATGTAGGAGCTATTATAGGAGCGATCATCTCTTTTTTAAATGTTTTAGCAGATCTTACAGGTGCAGACATTATTCTAGTTTAAGGACTTGAAGAAGATTGAAAAATAGCTGAAGGACAACCAACTAATACAGGACCAGTTGCAGTAAATGCTAGAGATGATGTTCCTATTATTCTTGTAAGAATTCAGTCTGAGCAAAGGTTACATCACATTAAAAAATACTTTCCATCTGCCGATAGATATTTGAGAATACTTAAAATTAGAACATTAAAACAAGAAACACATGAAAGTGTATCATCTTTTTGGACAAAGATTCAAAAGTATAGAAATCAATTAGACTATACACTTGCACAAAAGAAAACAAATTTATATTTGAAGTAAGACATGATATATTAAATGACATTATTATGATTAGTCATCACAAATATATTAACGATATTCTCGATAATTTAAAAGAAATAGACTTATGTCGTAGGATATTAAGGTCATTACCATCATATTCTAGCTATTCATCAGCCCATCCTACTATTCCTAATATCACATCTCAATAATAAGAAATTTCTTTGACAAATATACAAAAAATATTTCAAAACACATTAGCATAACAAAAAACTGAAAACCAGGCTTTAATAAAGAAAATTATAGAATTACAATCTCAAATGACTCAAAAAGTATAAATACCTACTCTTCAAACTGTTGAACCAGTTTAAAGCTCTGAACGGTTCAGATTAATCTAAAAATTTTCAGTTCAGATCAACTTCAGTTCAGTTTCAGATTGCAAAAAATTCAATCTGAAAATTTTCAGTTCAGTTCAGATTTTTTCAGATTATAAATCTAATCCAAACTGAAAAAAATCTGAACTGAACTGAAAATTTCAGATTAATCCAAAATTTTAGATCATTTGGAACGATTAAATTTATTGTTCTTTTGAAATGATTGAAGTTATCATTCTAAACAAACGATAAGAAAATCGTTTGATTGAAACGATTAAATTATCGTTTCAAACAAACGATAAAAGAATCGTTTGATTGAAACGATTAAATTATCATTCAATTAAAATAATTAAATTATCATTTCAAAAGAACAATAAAAGAATCGTTCATTTGGAACGATTGAAGTTATTGTTCTAAACGAATAATAAGAAAATTGTTCGATTGAAACAATTAAATTATCATTCCAAAAGAACGATAAAAAAATCATTCATTTGAAATGATTGAAGTTATCATTCCAAACAAACGATAAGAGAATCGTTCAATTGGAATGATGAAATTATCATTCTAAACGAATGATAAAAGAATCATTTGATTGAAATGATAATTATCATTCTAAACAAATGATAAAAGAATCATTTGATTGAAATGATGAAATTATCATTCCAAACAAATGATAAAAGAATCGTTTGATTAGAACGATGAAATTATCATTTCAACGAACGATAAAAGAATCATTCAATTGAAATGATTAAATTATCATTCCAAATGAACGATAAAAGAATCATTCATTTAGAACAATTGAAGTTATCATTCTAAATGAACGATAAAAGAATCATTCATTTAGAACGATTGAAGTTATCATTTCAAACGAACAATAAATAATTGTTCATTTAGAATGATTGAAGTTATCGTTTTAAATGAATAATAAAAAATCGTTCATTTAGAATGATTGAAATTATCATTCTAAACGAATAATAAAAGAATCGTTCATTTAGAACTATTGAAGTTATCATTTCAAATGAACAATAAAAAAATCGTTTGATTGAAATGATTAAATTATCATTTCAAAAGAATAATAAAAGGATCGTTCGATTAGAACAATCTGAAATTTCAGAATAATCTGAAATTTTCAGTTTAATTAAGATTTATACCAGTTTACAATTCAGTTCAATTTTAGATTAGCATTTTTAAGATTTATAATCTAAACTGAACTGAACTGAAATTTTCAGTTCAGTTTTAGATTGGCCTATAATCTGAACTGAACTGAATCGTTTGGAGCATTAAACCAGTTAGACAGTCAAGAGGTCCACCATCTACATTAAAGATAGAGAAAGGTCTCAAAAATTATTATGTAGCTGAATACTTAAAAGAAGTAGGTTACTTAATAAGGAAAATTTAAACTCTGATTATTCTATAAAACCTTTTCAAAGATCTTGTCTACAGAGAAGCAATAACTTTATTAAATTTGATAAGATTAAAGAAAGACTTGATGAAACTTGTGATGTAATAAACTAATTAACCAATCAATTTAAGAAACTAAATATACGTAAATGTGATATTTGTGAAGAAACTGATCATAGTAAAACAGTTGTTCTAATAAATAAATAGCACAATCTAATTTTAATCAGTCTTATTTTAAGCCTATCATACCTATAAATTTTCAAAATACACCTTCAGATTTTGATAATAATAAAAATAATAATGATGGTTATGATAAAGTAAACAATACATAGTATTATACACTGGAAAAAAAATAACTACTACTAAATGATAAATTACCTTTAAAGTCCAGTCAGCTGAAAACATATGATAAACTATTTCTAAAACTTTTACTGGTAATGCGAAAAATGTGTTAGTCTCATACAGTTCAGAAGAAAGAATAAAAATCAGATAAGTAGTTTTTATCATTACAATATCTGAATGCTAAAATAGATGATTTAATGATCTCTAATTTTTTTTAGATAATGCGAGTGAGTTTGGAAAGCGAATGATGTAACAATTAATACTCTTGAGTGGAAAGCTGATAAGCCATCTGACTTTACAATAAAAGGTAATTCCAAACACATACTAAATCATTAGGATGGTTTACAGATGTGCCAATGAGTATAAAAGATAAAGATAATAAAACTATTACAGTTACTGAAAATTTTACTCATATTGATAATGGTGATTCTAAAGCAATATTATGTTTAGGTATGATATAGATTCAAAAAGTCTAAGGTATTCTTGACCTGAATAAATATTAATTCTAAATGAAATTACATAGGAAGACTTATACTATCCTTATATATAGCAAGGCTCCAATAGCTAAAGATATACTAAAAGAGAAGCAGAACTAAATATCTACCGATTTCTCTAACCTAACTAATGAAGACTTAAAAAAAGTGCAAAGAGCTTGAAAGACGCCTTCTGAAAACTGAAAAATAGCTTGACATAGCATTAAATGCAGATAATATTCTTGCAGAAAAATGCTTACAATTTATGGAGAAAAGATCAGATGTATGACAGCTTCTTTAGTAATATTTATTAATTTATTAAGATCAGATTCCCATCTAGATGTATCATCTTTAAAAGAATTATCTACTTTATTTTTATTTTTTTCCACTAAAGCTACTGAAGAAGATTTGTCTTTTAGCTTTATACTATATTTTTAATAACTAATTTCCATTTTTTAGGAAATTAATTATTAAAAATATAGTACTAGCCTTTTTTTTCTAACTACCTTTATCTTTTTATCTATTAGTTACTATATTCAGATTATTAGAATTTATATGGGAATTTGGACCATTCTCATCATCTGCATGATGTTTCATATGAATAATCTTATCTTCTTATATGTTAGTAGAGAAGAAAGTATCATGTGAAGATTCCTGATTATTTTCTGAAATCTGATCAGAAACGTTAACAAATTCTATGATTCTATGCCATTCCTTAGTAGATTCAGGAGGCCTCTGATTATCAATTATTTTTTGATATGTTATTGATCCTATACGATGCTTTTTACACATAATATACTGAGCATTTAGAATATTATTTTAAGCATTTCAATTTCTTCGATAGTTTCAGGTAATAAACGTTAAACATCTGATCTAAAAAATTTATGAGTATAGATTGTTTGTTTTTTGCTCATAGTTTGCTAGTAATAAATCTGTATGATACTAATAAAAAACTTGTAGAAAATTTATTCAAAATTTATTTGATATTAGTCTGACATTGGTCTAATATTGGTTTGTTACATATATATAGTTCACTTTCTTTACAATGTAGTATGTTATAATCATGATTTAAATAAAAAATTGGTTTAAGATACATATGTTTCAAATATTATATTTATTTGAAACTAGTTTATTATTAATTTTTATTAGTTTTTTATTAGTTTAATTAGTAGTCCAATCCGTAGATACAAAATCTGGATATCTGTATGGATATACAGATATCTGGATATCAATTTTAAGTAATAGATAGAAAATTGTGAATATACAAATATCCATAGATATCTGTACAGTTATTTGTTATTTTGTATAACTTAGCTGATTAAAACGCACATTTGCCACATTAATTAAATATGCAATAAACTAAAAAGTAAAAAAGGTGTTACTTTTTTTTTAGTCTAATCTTTTATAATAATGTCCGGTGAGGAGATTCCACAATTAGAAAATCTTGAAACAACTTCTACAAGTAGTTAAAAAGATCAAGACAAGGAGTATGTGAACTATTAAATCAATAAAATTTAGTTCCAAATAGATCTGTAATTGAGTTAGATTTAGATACAGATATAAATATTTAGCAGAAAATTAAAAAAAATGATAGGAAGCATAAGAAAGTTTAGTAAAAGTTGATCTAAATAAAATAGCTGATCAGCTAGTTTTAATTCCAAATGTTAAGCCACCCAGACAAAGTTGGATATAGAGTTATTTTGATTAATATGAACTAACCAAACAATACAAAAGAATTGTTAAATATTTAGTTCAAGTTCAACGAAAAAATAGTGCAGAACTATATAATTATTTTATGGGTTTCAATAATTCCACTGGCAATTTTATTACCTATCTTACTACATATCGAATTACTGAAGAAAATTATAAAAGAAAGATGAATAAAATACAAAACAATATTCAGATATTACAACTTTGTATAGATGAAATATTACGAAATAATCCAAATATTAAAAATAATTAAGATAAAAAATTCATTAAAATTTTAATTAAAGATAATCAACCAATTAGTATATGCAATGATGAAGGATTTGTTGAATTCATTTATGAATTTGATCCAAATTATCAATTTTCAAGTGATAAAACAGTTCAACGATTGTTAACCAAAGCATATAATTAAATTAAAGTTGTTTTAACAGAAAAGCTTAGTAAAATATTCTTTCTTATTCTATAATAACAGATCTTTAAACATCTCAAAGTAGATCTAGATATATTGGTATTATGTGTTCCTTTATTAATAATGATTTCAAAATTTGTGAAGCAATTTTATCAATTTAATATGTGCCTTACCCTCATATTGATGATAATATCTGTGAAGTTTTACGTGAAATTATCTCTAATTGGAATCTAATAGCAAGGTTCCTACAATGACAATTGACAATAGATCAAATATGGTTCAAGCTGAAAAACTAATGAATGAATTTAATACGACTTCCTTATGCAACACACACTTTACAACTAGTTATAGGAAAAGGTTTACTTTCTGCTGAAGTTTTAATTGCAAGAGCTAAAAGGTTAGTAATAAATTGTTTTACAACATCAAAACAAACAGAAAGACTTTTAGAAATTTAAAAAAGCATCCATTGTTCTGATAATGAGGTATGTGAATTTTTAAAATTTAATTTAATATATTTACCTAATTTAAATTAATAATTTTGTATCATTTTAATTTTTGTTCTATAAATTAAATTCTATTTTATAAATTAAAGTATTATATTTTATTATTTAATTTATAGTTTAAATCCTTTAATTTATAATTTAATAAAAATTAAACAATTTATTTAATAAATTATTTTATATTACAATTTATTAATAAAACCTAATGTAATTTTATATTATTATAGAATTTGGAAAAAAATGATGAATACCTTTGAGTTATTGCTAACATAGAAATGCATTAGAATTTAAGCTACCTTGCGTGAAAGCGCTTAATAAAAATTAAAAACCTTATTAGTGTTTTAGTATCTACCTTAATGATTAATCCTAATACATGATGAGATAAAAAACAATTAAAAGATATAAATCTAACTGATAATGAATAGTAAGCAATAGGTAAATTAGTAGATATTTTAGAAGATTTTACTGGAGCAACTGAATATTTAGATAAAAGCAATTATATAACAATTAGTCTGATGTATAGCCGATTAGTAATAATTAGTAAAAAACTGATACCTGAGGATTTTAATATAGAAGTTATAAATCTGACCAGCCCTAATACTGCCTTTGATAATGATGTTGGTTATGAAGATACCCTAGAGGATGAGATTACTTAGCAACTTAAACGTAGAAAAATTAATATTAATACTCTACAAAATTGTTTTGAACTTAAAAACTGTGTTAAAATAGCATTATATCAATCTATTAATCACTATTAGAAAGTTTCACAAGAACAAAGAATGTTGATCACATTGTTAGATTCACAATTCAAAGATTTAGAATTTGCCTCTAATATATTATGCATCAGAACTTATGAACAATTAAAAGACGCCTATCAAAATATGAAAAATCTAACTAATAAGGATCAAGAAGCTGAATATAGACTCACTTCATCAAATTCATTATTGGCAAGAATATTTCAAAATAATTATACTTATGTTGATAAAGTAACTAATTATTTAGCTATACCCAAGATTCATTTCGAAGATTGCCCTTTATTATGGTGAAAAGTTAATGTAACTCAGTTTTCAATATTATCAAAATTAGCAAGAATGTATCTGGTAATTCTTACAATTTCTACTCCAAGTAAAAAGCTCTTTAGTAAAACTGATAATATTATGACTATAAAAAGAACACAATTAGCACATAATACATTAGAGAATCTGATTTTTGTAAAAAAAATTAGCATTTAGTCAAGGGAGTTTTTCTATTAAGTAATACTTACGAAATTGTTAATGATTAAAGAAAATAGAGCATTTTTTGAAGTCAAAGTAGCTAATTTCTCATATATTTTTCATATATAGCTTTTTTTTAACAATAATAAAGTTTTAACGTAAACAATGATTATATAAATAAATAAATTTTCTCATTTCGGAAAGAAAAAAATTTTATTATACCAATCAGTTATAAATAAGATAGATTAAATTTTAATTGAATTTGATTGATTCTTAATATATACTAATTGGTTAAGCTGATTTTTGATAATTTACTGATCTTAAGCTGATTTTAAGATGATTTTTCATATATTTGATTTTTTTGATTTTAATTAGTAAAAAGAAATGAGAAATAAAAAAGAAAAAAAAGTAAAGAAAAAAAAAAATAAAAAAATCTAAAAAATAAAAAAAAAAAATTAAAAAAAAAATAAAAAATATAAAAATAAAAAAAAAAGATTAAATAAATCAAATATAAATAAATCATTATCATTATAATTGTATATAATGATTTCTATTACATTTAAATTAAAATATAATAAAATATTATCAATTAAAAGTAAAATCTTTTTATCTTATACTTGAAAATAGCTATTAAATTTATAAAGAACTTCTTTAAATAATATAAGTTCATCTATATTTTAAAATTAGTTTGATAAATAGATAGAAAATTTTCAAATTATTCTTAAAAAGAAATCTTAGCCTCTTTGATTTGCTAATTACTTAAGACTTTAATTTATTAATATTTTTTATATAAAGAAGAATTATAATTCTTATTTATTCTTCTTTTGTTTAGAAATTAGTTTTGTTGAAAGTGTTTGATTTAGAAATATTTGATAAAAAAAGTCTATATTTAAATTATAACTTAACTATCTTAATTGAATATTTTAACATTTATCCAATTATTTTAAAGTTATTAAAAAGTAGAAAACTTACTATTTTATCAATATTGTAAATTTAATCAAGTATATGAAGGCAGTTAGTAGAAAAGAAGAAAATTCACTTTTTAGTTAAAAATTTTTTTATTGATTTACTTTGCTGATCATGATCATATGAACAAAACTAGCTTAATAATTAAAATTATTCAAAATTTATAAATTTTTCCCTTTTTTATTTTTCGTCTTTCATATATAAACTTAAAATTAATTCTAACTTTATATATTCTTTAAAAAATACTAAAAATACATTTTTCAATTTTCTATATATGGGGACCCGAACTGCAAAAGCTGAGGCTTGAACCAATCACGTGATTTTGAGATTTCACAATAATCATATGCCTATAGGTTTAGCCATTCAGTGAATATGGGTTGATTGCTAGGAAAATCAGGTTCCGGGAATTTTTTAACAAAATTGAGATTTTTATTGCATTTTAGTTT